GACCACGTCTCTCGATCTTTTAGGTCAGCTTCCTCGATAGCCATCCGATAGCGAGCTAAGTCGCCCAAACATTCTATCCAGGTCTCGTGGAAAGCGGGCACGGATTCCATGAGAAGCCCCATCATTTGATACGCGAGGTACACAAAGCTGAGCATATGCTCCAAAGAATACGGGAGACGATGACGGAGTAGCTCAAGGAAAGAATGGATACCATGCCTCCACATGCGGGCCGGCATTGCATACTTTGTGGGCAGGCGCCACAATGCCGGTGATGCTGTCGGGTGTTGGGATGCTAGGAAGAAATCATGGTGCTCATGGAGGAGGGTGCGATGTAAGGCGATCAATGCCTGCCACTGCTCGTTGGAGAGTTTGGTGGTGGTTTGAGCTTGTTGCGCACATATCTCGACGCACTTCTTCTCGACCATGACCAGGCCAGCGTAGATGCCCTTGACCTCGTTGACGAGCTGTTCCAGGGAGATGGACCGGGTTTCAGGCTGGAGTAAGGGTTTGATGTCGGCCTCGGCCGAGAAATCATCCTGGGACGAGTGAGCCGACGCGGGTCGTGCATCATAGCATCTCCTTTCCGACTCTGCGTGCTGAGCCAGAGTACGACTGTTCTGACGAGACTGGTGTGGGACGGGTGTCTGCTGAGAGGGTTGGTAGCCCCCTGCTGAAGGCGACCGTCTACTCGAGTCGGGGGGTGGAAAGTGAATGCGTGAGAAATCGTGCTCATGGCGGCCGGAAGAGTAGGCTGGAGAGGCCGAGCCCGGTCCGATCTTGCTGGGTCGCCATTCGGTTTCGGCTGCTGGGCGTTTGAATGGTCTTATTTCTTTGGCCTGTTGGAAAGGTCTGACAGAGTCTTCAAGGCTCAACCTGTTCAAGGACTCGCTGGGCTCCTGTTTGATTATCGGCGAAGCAAGGCTCGGAGAACTCCCAGTCCTACGTCATGAAAAATTCAGAACCCTGGTAGGTGGTCGAAGGAGGGAGAGAGAGAACGGTACCATTGTTGAGGACGCTTCTCGACCAACAATTCAGCGGCAATCGCCGTGTAGGCTGATCCGCCACCGCCAGGTGGAGCGGATCTCAAATGCGGCAGCCGTTTATCTCCGGGATTCGGATAGGCCATGGCATCGAAAGTCCCCTAGGAGGCTTTAGCGTCAGTCTCTGGAAGCACGAGAGGGGTCGCTCAGTGGAAAGTTTTTATCCGGTACAAATTCCTTGACTTTTGTGGAGGAGCTTTGGCGATCTTGTGTCCGGAGTATGGCTGCTAACTCACCCTAAAACCCCTTTTAGTTTGACAGACCCAGCGAAATATCAGGTCCTTGTGCACAAGAAGGTGGCGCAATGCCTGAATCCCGCGCTATTGGCTCCTAGAGGCGGTAAAGTCAGGAACTGAACCCGTCTTGGTGATGGTGGCGACGGAATACAATCCATAAGATGGATGATCCAGAGATGGCTCATGGCCGGCAGTCCTCTGCCTCTCTTTTGTAATTTCCCAGACAGGGCGAGGCGCCCTCTTTTGGGGCCGGCGTTCGCATGGTTCGCACGAGTTCTCCCTGCAGGCGAAAAGGCAGCCACTACTGCAATCACTCCGACCAGTGGTTGCGCCAGAGCCTCACCGGCCGCACCACACCAACGCTTGTACCCGTCAGCCTTTTGCCTCACCTTGACCAGATGTTCAGCTACGCACCGCCCACCACCACAGCCCCCTTTATATCTATGGCCAAAACATCATCTTCCTCGTCTGGCTACGACACGCCCTCTATATAACAAGTCCACCAATCGACGTCCGTCACCAGAACGTGACGCATTCTACGCGGGGAAAGACTCCAAGAAGGCGTCCAGGAGCGGCACGATGTGTTTGTAGTCCCACAAAGGCGACCCAGCCTCAGTGTGTCAGGCAGCGTTCCTTTTGTTCGCATTGGTGCAAAGGGAGGGTATGCAGGTGAGAGGAGCCACGTTCACTGACCAGGTTCAGTAGCGTCAGTTGCTCTCCACCCACGAATTTATTGGGCTTACTTGTAGACTCATGTGAGACCAATCAATTTAACCTAAACTTGATCGGGGACGTGGCTACCATGGAGGCTTCGATATCGAAGATATACTCAGCCCACCTCTGAGAAAAAGAGATACTCCAGGAAAGAGATTTTTTCCTTTCTTTTTCCTCAAGGAAGGGGGGCTAGGAAAAGAGGGGGAGGGTTAAGGGAAAGGAGGAAAGAAAGACGAGGGGGGGGAAAAAATGATAATCAAGTTGGCAATTACAGTAGGCTCTCCCGTCTATGATAAATCCTCCTTAACCCCCGTTCTTGAGATCTGTACCTGATAGAGAAGGAGACTCCAAAACACCGAGAACTCTGGGTCGGCTTCTGGGAGAGAATGTGGACAATAAAAATCGGTTGTAAAGAGTGTGGCGGCAAAATATCTCCAGGAATGCTACTGTGTATTCCGAAGTCGCCGACTGCGAGAGTAGATAGTTGGAATCGGTCTGTCCGGGGTCGGAATTTCGTATTTGAAATGATAGTAGATGGACTCAGAAGCAGAAGAACTCAAATTGTATATCCTTATTAAATATCAATGATATTGCTCAAAAGCCCGTCCGTATTCTGTTCCAACGGATACTGTAAGACTTACCGCACTCTGGACGCACGCGCTACCAGCTGGGCAGCAGATCGATGTGTTCTCATTGCCGTTCGAAACGCAAACATTGTCGCCTTCAACATTGGGTGGATTTACGGCGCAGCTTTGAGCAGGCTCTCCAGAGAAAAAGCCATCTCCTGTTGCCGGGGTGCTTTGGCCCTGTGGGTGCGGAAAAGCGAACGCCAATGCTACACTAGAAAGGACCAAAAGAAGCGTTTTGGAGTGCATAATTGAATGTTGGAAAAGAATGACAAGTTAAAATATGGGACAGGCTAGTAGGACCCGTCGCTGAAAGATCGAAGAGTTATATAGGCAAAGGAAGGTGTTTCGGTAGAACTTGATAGACAGCGACGGTAAAAGAGGAGTGATCAGGATAAAAGGTGTTATAGATTTGAGCCTTCTTATTCTGTCCTCGATCGAGCTAGAATTTCACAGATCAAGAGAAAACCATTAGACACGGATCCACCAATATATCAGGGTCTAAATCTGGACCCTATTAGGAGCCAGAAAGAGACCCCAAGGAGCCAGAAAGAGAGGAATTCCATTATCGAATCGGTGGATACTGTAATAATGTTGCTGTGGCGAAGTTACCGTTTACAGATTTCGCGCTCTAGATTCAAAGCTGCAGCCTGGCTCTTTCATTTGGTGAAAGATCGCCTCAACTTCCTTAGCAAAATCCCTCCCAAGGTCCAGTGTCACCAAAAGTTTCCAACCTCATTCTCGACAACTCTTTTTCTTCGATACGGGTCGTTCTATTATAGAAAACCCTTCCATAGGCAGTATCCTTGCAGTACCAGCCTGTTTTCATATTTCACGTCCGGTCAAATACTCTTTTCTCAAGAGAAGTTCTTTTAGAGGGAGCGTGTTGTGTTGGAGAGCGAAACCATTGCCGAGCTTGTTTGCCTTGGCCACCCATTCTCCCTTTGATCTTCCTTCTGTGGTGGCGACGCACTGTACAGTACAGTACTACATGAGCAGAAAATCCAATTTTGAGCCCATACCCGCTCACGTACCTCTCCAGACCAATGAAAACAACCGACAGAGGGGAAACTTGTTAATAATTTCCATACAGTAAATTCCCGGAATCGATTTTCTGCCGTGGACGAAGCACAATTATTCCAAAGCCTGAACAAGAGACATCGGTAGACTCTTGGAATTCGGCAGATTTGGACTCCCTTATTTATTAATGTTAGACAGTCAGACGTGCCAAGTTCCAGAGCCGGTTCTGGCTCCATTACAAGAATCTGGCCTTAAAAGGAATGATCAGTCTGCCCAGATCTTCTCACCGGGCCTGCTTAAATAGAATTCGAAGATTAACGTTTCCACCCAGGTCTTCCTGTTCTAGACTTCACTTAGACCCATCACCGGCTTAAAACTCTCCTTGGAGCAACTTATAGGATAGTATATAGTCCTTACGTCCGGGTTCTGACATCTGTTTGGTCCTCCATCTCCGACCGTTAGAGAAAAGAGGCGAAATAGCATCAAGGGAATGTATCTTGTAGTTCCAGCCCCCGATTTAGATGTTCCTTTCTTGTGTAGATCATTCCTTCAGGTCGTTGATACGCTCTATCGTGTTTGCGTGTTTTCTTTGCAACTTCTCTTTCTTCCTGGACTAAGGCGAAGCATGGGCAACAGAGCGAACCGCAAAAATCGAAGCAAATATTGCCTGATAGTCCGAATCTCTTTCTCACGTTACGACGACTCGCGCTTTGGAGACACGATGAACAGCCACATCAGGCGAGCAAGGCCCAGGTACAGCACTAAAGACGGAGATATTAGTCAAATACTTCCGAAACCGGGTGAATATTCTCACCTCGCGATTGAACCAGGTAAAATCTGAGAGTCCTCGGTCCCGAAGACGTGCTTGAGTCTTTCCATAGAGGAAACAGGGCAGAAGCCATCCAAGGGCACCTATGCTCGCCATTAAAATCAACTGATTCATCCACAAACCTGATTGTCGGGCCATACATGTCTCGTCGACAGAAGAAGAGCCAAAGAAAGGATGCTCCCACTTCGACATCGTGGCGTATCTCCTAGAGGAAATTAACCGATTGTTGGACTCAAGCCCTTCAAGTCAACACACACGCAGAGAAGAGGCAACAAACAATTCCGAGAAATTCGCAACTTCACCGCGTTGGTATTAAGGAGGATCATAGTCGAGATTTGCTGACATTCCCCTCGGCAAGAGAGGTGCCCATTAGGGCCTCTTTTGCGTCCTAAGGGATATTCGAGGAGCCAAAAACTGGAGCTTACATTTGCAGGCATTGAATTCCTCGACTGGATTTTTTTCGACGTATCGTTTGGTTCTGTCAAATCCCTTCCCAATCCCATGGTAGTCTCTTTGGTGATGATGCTATAGGGAATATACTTGTTCTCTATGCAGTTCCCTTTTGTCCTTCCGTGGCGAAATTTTACTGTACCTTGGACCTCACGCCTAGAAGTCAGAATTCGTAGTTGAATACTTGCTGGTTTGATCAAGATGTCTGTCCTGTATTGCCTCACGTATCTCATGGGCTTCCTGCTCATCGTTCTGCGTCATCGAACCAAGCCCCTTGCGTTATCGACAAATACCAATTTCCCGAGTGATAGCTGCGTATCAGTTCCTCAAGACGCTGAACCCCCTTCGGAGGGCTCTGTCGCAAGTCCGGTGCCAGAGACAACTGAAAATTCAATACCGGGTAAAAGAGGTTTGGCCTATAACGATGCGTCACTCACCTACCTCTTCGCAAACCAGTCCTCCGTGAGCTGGGGTTACAACTGGGCGTCATTCGCCAACGGCTCTCTTCCCTCCAACCTTGAATTTATCCCGACGCTCTGGGGCCTTGGTGAAGACGAGACTTCTTCGTGGTTTACGCAGGCCTCCTCAGCCATCAGCTATGGATCCAAACATCTCTTCTCTTTCAATGAACCCGATACAGAGTGAGTGAGTGAGTGAGTGAGTGATGTCATTTACCCTGACCTCTCCCGTGGGATATGCAGGCTACTGTACCACTATTAAAGCTAATCCTTCAGTCGCAATTCAACCGTTGCTATCTTACATGCACGACCTTTGAGCCTCGTTAAGGCCTGTATTGTTCTCTCGGCCTGACCGCCGGGGCCCGTGATTTGAATCTTTGGGATGCGTCCGCAAACTCGAGCACTGCGTCCAAAGCTTCACGGTTGATGCCACCACTGCTTGCCTTACCTTGCCCGTTTCGTAAGGTGGAATACATCACCACTTGGTAGGTGTCATCCTCTCTCGATCAGAGTCTCCGGGGACAAATGGCTGAAGCGTATTGGCTGTTATTCGAGCGGGGATCTACTTGTAGTTCAACGCGAGCATTTGGCCGCCCAACGGCATTGAGAATCACCAATCAGGCACACGATCTGCGAAAATGTCTCCAGTGAGAACCTATCGACCCTTAGGCACACTCATAAGCCGTGCTGTTTGTTCTAGTATATCTTTGACTTGAGTACAATACAGTACATATGTACCTCAGAGAAAGTTCGTACGAGCGATTTATCGCGAGTCCCATTCTCTCCCCCTCGGATAAGTTGCTTACGGGGACCAGCGTCGGGTGTGACAGCGGCGCGCATGTGTGTCCGCGTCGCTCCCTCCAAGTCCAGACCTTCACCCTCAGAGGCGCCAGCAAACATTGGCGTGGTGGAACAACCTTGAGGGGTGGAGGAAGCTCTGCACCGGATGCCACTCTCTATTAGCGACGGCATTAGAGGTGTGAGAGGGGAACGAAAGCGTTATGACCGGTCGCCTCCGGATGACTTGTCGCCCGCCGCAAAAATCCAGAGGCTCAACGAGTCCATGATTTGGAGCACCTACTTTTGAAAAAAAGAAAAGCCCTCTTTCGGCTTCCTCCCGTTTTTCGCAGAGAAGCTGATTCTCTACTATCGGCAAATGACGACCTTTGACCACATATCATATCGAGCAATTGCGTCACCATCGGCAGAAGGATTTCGGATTTCGGGGAAAGCACCCTGAGTGCGCTAGGGTCCATTTCCCGGCGCGAGATTGAGATGCAACCATAAGCCGCGAGAAACGCCGTGCTCGTGGCTGGATGCCACGGCGACGCTCTGTCCCGGCTCGTCACGGGTATGTCGACTCTCCAGTTTCGTGGTAAGTATGTCACGCATCGGGCGGACAGTGCGACATCGCACCGGCGTCCATATTGACTATGGATATTCGTAGACGGATCTTCCACGAGTGTGAATCGTGACCGTTGCATCGCATCCAAGCAAGAGATCCTACAGATCTTATAGAGTTAAGTTATGGCTTACTTATTACGTCTGAAGTTTGGGGTGGAGAGAAGCTATCGTCAGGGGTTCTCGTATTCACCTTCCTAGGTACGGTTTAGGATTGGATAAATGGTTGCGACTCTAGAAGAAAGGGGGGTGTTTTTTCTTTCTCACAGGCTGATCAGTTCTCAACTCATATAGGATCAGTTAGATTTTTAACTAAGTCGTTACCTACAAAGGCTGCACAATCGGGCCCGTATCCTGACATCACCGGTAAACCTAGAGCGCCCACGTCTACTATGCCACACAATGAACACAAACAAATCATCCGCGTTCTCAGCCCCCAGGGCCGCTCAGCGGCCTGCGGCGCTTTATCCAAGCCCACCCATGCGGCTGAGATGACCGGCCAGCGGTGATCACGACAGCCGGGTGCTAAGGTGGATTGAGGTTCAGCCTCGCTAGTGTGCGGCTACCGCACCCGTTGCTGAGCTCAGAGAGAAGGGCAGCGCTCAATTTCGCAAGTTCCGTTTGTATTTGCGTTTGCATCGTTTGTATTTTCCCTTCAAGTGCGAGTGCCATTTCACCCGCCATGCGTTCGAGTCTCTCTTCGATCGACTCTAGCTCCTGCTCGGCGACGGGAGGGTTAACGGCGACGGTGTCAGGCCTGGACGGTGTGCCGCCCCTGAACACGTAGCTCGAGTCATCCTTAATCAGTGAATGTTCCTGGCACAGGTGACCAGTAGCCGCGGGTCGCGGAGTGCTCGCTTCGCATTGACCAAATTGTCCTTGCCGCAAGAACAACCCCTACTTGAAGCCGCCTACGCAGAGGTCTGTACACTTGCCTCACGCCGTCATAACGCGGAGCACGAGGAGGATCATTCGCCGCCGCCAAACGAGCCTTACAAAAGTCCAACAGCGTTCGTGAAGGCCTACGTCACCTAGCACCTGAAAATATGGAGACCGACCGCGCAGGACCTATGCGACCTGCCTCCTCATGGCTCTTGGACGTTTGGGAAGTTCAAGGCACCACGGACCGCCGAGTCTTGCGTCCAATCCACACGGCTTAGCTCAGTAACCAAAGAAAACGAGTCTTCCTAAATGTTCCATCATATTAGATGCTCAGGTATGTAAGCCCGACGGCCCTTCTAGCAATATCGCACCGCCCTCGCCAAGCGGGAGAGGAGGGTCCGAATTGAAGTCTGATCTCTCTACCCGACCCACGTAGATCTCGTCAAATTTCACCTCTCGCTCGCTTCAAGCTTGTTCTGTGTCCAACGACGAGTCCTCCCCTCCACTAC